CTTGTGGAAGGGGTCCGGCTGATCAGGACTGGTCGAGATGGGCCAGACACACCCTGGATCCTTCCCACATTCCCTTCTTGGCCCCAGTTGTGCACTGATGGTGTCCTTCTGCCTGGCCTGCACCCTCTTGCAATCTGGGATCCCCTCAGGGGATGTTGGAAAGCCGAATCTGTGCACCAGGCCTCCATTTTTAACTATTAAAAAATCAAATCATAGAAGCAGAAGCTAACAGATTACTAACAAATGAAACATAGCATTTACCCCAATTTTTTCTCTGTGCTGGTCAGCTTCTAAGGATTTAGGCACGTAGGAGGCAGGTTGAGTGACCCATCATACCTGGTCTTGTCCTGGAACTTGCCACCTGCCCTGCTGGCTTTGGCCTGGGTCTCTGTGATCACTTCCAGTGACAAAACATCATCTTTTCTCATTGAAAAGCCCACATTTCTCAGCATTAATAAAATCAGTTCCATATCTTTCTCTGTGAAATTTCTAGTAAGTTTTTCCAAAATGTTAAATATGAAGAAAGACTGTACCATGTGGAAGTCATACAAATGGGCAATGATTGTGAATAGGTTGTCACACTCTTTGCCTTCACTTCCCTTTTTATAGATGTAATCAAACTTCCTCATCACGGCCTCCAGAAAGGGAGCTCTGACCTGCACAAATGAAATAGACCAAACATTATTGCAAACACCTGAAAATCGTGGCAGCAAGTTACTCTCAGGGATCCTTCTTTTCAACAAGCTGTAGTGTTTAGGCTGAAAGAGTCAGTACTTTTAAAATTAACGCATCATTATACACATGGTAGCAGGCACACGCCCACAGGGCATATGCTTTAAAAACCAGTCTGAGTGTACAGTACTGATACATGACCAAACGGACTGGTGGATGTAGCACAGAGCAATCCACCACAGCACTGGAGCCTCCCCTGTAAGCACCCTGTCTGATCTTCTAAGTCTAGGTGGACTGCCTCAGTCAGCAGCCATCTGACTCCTTGGAAAAAGACCACTGCACACCTCTGTCTGCAACGCTGCACGTCTAACAGCACTCATTCCGAAGGATATGCGGAGCCTGGGGGAGGAGGCATGGAGCGGTGTTGAAGGTCCAGTTGGGAAGTGAGACCTGCTCACCTCTGTTGTCTTTCATTAATACTGGGAATATATAGGTTTTATATATGTGTAGAGACGTTGGTACAGGGAGAATCCTATTATTTCTCTGTATGATATCAGAGAAGGCCTGGCCCTGCTGACTGGTAACTAGTGGAATGTAGGACACAAGGGCTATGGTCAGAAAGCCCACTGCATGGGAGAACATACTTGCCAACGTTATCTCTGATAAGGGTTTAATCTCCAACATTTAAGGGAACTCATACAACTTAACAAAAGGAAGAACAACAACCCAATCAAAAAATGGGCAATGAACCTAAATAGATACTTTTCAAAAGAGGACAGAAGGAAGGCCAAGAGACATAGGAAAACATACTCAAAGTCACTAAATCATCCAAGAGTTGCAAATCAAAACAACAATCAGGTACCATCTCACACCTGTCAGAATGGCTATCATCAATAAATCAAGAAATGACAATTGCTGGTGAGTAAGCGGAGAAAAAGGAACCCTTGTGCACTGCTGGTGGGAATGCAGACTGGTGCAGCCACTGTGAAGAACAAACAGTATGGAGTTTTGTGAATGTCCCATGTCCCACGTGGTTCAAGAGAAGGGCTGCAAGCAAATGAAAGAGATGAGACAAGAAATAATAACTTGGAAATATTGGGGGCCAGGCAGAAAGCCCAGTGCAAAGGAAAGGACTTCCACTGGTGCCCAGGCCTTGCCAATCTTTAATTCAATTTTGGATACAAATCTAGCTCTTAGTGAGGCAGGTAATTGCGGTGACAGACTATCTTGAAGGCCAGTAAATATTAGAAAGATTTACTCTGAGACTATTTGGTCAGGAAATAGCCTGAGCCCCCATTGTCTGGACTAAACCATCTGTGCATAGCTCTGGCCCTTGCCAGGGGCTCAAGGTTCACCAGCATTCCGGGATCCTTGTTTACACTTCTCTGATAGTGAAGACAATGGGTGGCTTCCCACAGAGTTTCTTCAAAAAACTAAAAATGGAACTCCCATTTGACCCAATGATCCTACTTCTAGGAATATATCCCATGAAACTAGAAACACCAATCAGAAAGGATATATGTACCTCTATGTTCATAGCAGCACAATTTACAATAGCTAAGATTTGGAATCAGCCTAAGTGCCCATCAGCAGAAGAGTGGATTAAAAAACTTTGGTACATCTACACAATGGAATACTATGCTGTTGTAAAAAGGAAGCAAATCCTACTATTTGAAAGCATGGATTATGCTAAGTAAAAAAATTCAGTCAGAGAAAGATAAATATCAAATGATCTCACTCATTTGCAGATTATAATGAACAACATAAATCGATGAACAGAAACAGATCCAGAGACAGAGAAGCATTGATCAGATGCTCAAACCTCAGAGGGGAATGTAAGGGAGGATGGGGGATAGGGAGAGAGATCAACCAAAGGACTTGTATGCATGCATATCCGCATAAGAAATGGATACAGACAACAGGGGGTTAGGGTGAGGGCAAAATTGGTGGAGTGAGTGGACAATGGGGGTTAAGGACACATTTGTAATATCTTAATCAATAAAGGAAAAAAATAATAAATAAAAATCTCTGAACTCCTGTTGTGAAATCTTTTCTGCATAAAGTCAGGAACTCAAACATTAGAGGCCAAGCTGAGGCAGACCAACTCCAGGCTGGTTCCTCTTCCATAAAAGTTATGCCTGGGACATCCTGTGTAAAGACAGAACAAGGTATGATTTTGCTCACAAGACTTGGAAGAAAACGTGATGGCCCACAATCACTTTGTTGTTGTTGAGTCAAATCAATATTAACACTGTTCATTTTTAAAATGTCTTTATTGATTTTTTATTTATTTATTTATTTATTTATTTATTTATTTATTTTTTAAAATATATTTTATTGACTTTTTACGGAGAGGAAGGGAGAGGGATAGAGAATTAGAAACATGGATGAGAGAAACACCGATCAGTTGCCTCCTGCACACCCCCAACTGGGGATGTGCCCGCAACCAAGGTACGTGCCCTTGACTGGACCCTTCAGTCCACAGGCCGATGCTCTATCCACTGAGCCAAACCAGTCAGGGCCTTTATTGATTTTTTAGAGAGAAAGGGAGAGGAAGAAACATCAGTGATGAGAGAGAATCATTAACCAGCTGCCTCCAGCATCCCCCCTACTGGGATGGAACCCCCAACCTGGGTATGTGCCTTGACCTTGAATCAAACCAATGATATGTTGGTTGATGGGTACACACCCAACCACTGAACCCCACTGGCTGTGCACACTATTATTTATTATTGTTGACTCTATTACAGATGTTCCCAATTTCCCCCCATCCTCCTCCCCCCTTTTCTCCCTCTACCCTGCCTTCACTGCTTCTAGTTCCTCACCACATTACTGCCAGGAACCAATGCCAGCATGTCATAATTTCAAGAGTTTCATCAAAAGGTTGATGAAACTTGGGGACTCAACAGGGTTGAGTCACACATGTAGTCACCTGTTGGGAATGGCTAAAGGCATTTCCCCAAACCTAAATAGGAAACTGACTGTGACTGCCAGACAGTTAAAGGGCATCTTAATCTATATGTTATTGCCTCCTACTGGCCAAACACCTGAACAGCTGTAGGCTAATTCCCCCAAACTGACAATGCTTCTGTACCCTTTGAAACCTTACCTTTTGAAGTGTATTATCTCCACCTTGCCTTAGGACAAATTGTGTTAATAAAAGCAAGGGTCCTAGACAAGGAGGTAGTCTTCAGTTCCTTTAGCTGAAGGTTCTCTGACCCCCAATGCCTTTCAAAATTATATCTCGTCTCTGGACTCTTTATTAGTCTATGGATTTCTATGTCATCTGCACACAGCCTTTTCCAGATTCCTGAACCTTTTTTGATGCTGGGACATGAACCCCGGCAATTACTGTATATGTCCATGGCCTATACATATATGTATATACTTGGATTAAAATATTTTTGTTGATTTTAGAGAATGGGAGGGAGAGGGAGAGATAAAGGCATTAATGATGAGAGATAATTTCTGATTAGTTGCCTCGTGCATGACTCCATCCACACATTGGAAATTGAGCCTGCAACCTGTGTAAACTATGTGCCCTGACCAAGAAAAGAAACAGTATCACATGACCTCATCATTTGTGGAATATAATGAGCAGCATAAATTGATAAACAAAGTTACATTCAGAGTCATAGAAGCATCGAGCAGACTGTCAAACTTCAGAGGGAATTTAAGGGAGTGGGGGGGGGGTGGTTAAAGGATCAGCCAAAGGACTAATATGCATTCATATAAATATAACCAATGGACACAGACACTTTGGGAGCTAAGGGCATGTGCTGAGGGGTGGGGGTGGCTGGGAAGAGCTCAATGGGGGGGAAAAGGAGTTATATGTAATAATATATGTAATACTATAAAAATAAATACTTTTAAAATATAAAAATAAAATAAAAAGAACCATGACGTGGTTCACAGGTCAAGGCTCAACCACTGAGCTACACCACCTGGGCTGCATTATTTTAAAATTTACGAAAATACATATATTTTTTATTGTTGATAGTATTATTGATGTCTCCCATTTTCCCCCTCTGTGTATAATTCTTTGGTGGATCTCTGGCAGTCCTCCCACCTCCTTCCCCTCAGAGATCTGTCAGTCTGCTCCAGTTAGCCAGGCCTCTGGTTCCATTTAGTCCCTCCCCAGGCGTCACTTGCTGGGCCACATCACCTTTATTCATATAATTCATAGGCTGAGATGCTAGTACTACACTGAGCGATTGCGAAAACTACATTTCCCAGAAGGAACTGCACGCATGTGGGCGGCGCTAAAGGACAGTTTGGTGCCTGCACATCTGGTTAGGGCGGGACTTCCGCCTTCCTCTTCCCGTCGGTCATTTTAACTTTTTAGGTCTTTGTTCACAGACTCCCAGGCTTCAGGGCGCTGGTGGTGAGTCGGAGGAGGCCTGGGAGGCAGCGAGCCTGCTGTGCGGGGTGTGTCTGAGGCTCCTTGAGCCCAACAGCCCGAGATTGGCGTCCCCGTGCCTCCCGGACTCCTCTCTGCTCACAGCGTCCCCGCAGCCGGACCCCATTTCACCCTCCAGCCTTGGGGACCGGCCTCTCAGGTCCCGCCGCCCAGGTCCCAGCGCTCAGAATGGTGAGTCCCTCGTGGGTGACACATGGCTGATGGGGGAAGAGGGTGAAAGGCAGCCTGGGCCGCCTTGTAAGGACGTGATGGTGCGAGTGAGCAGGGAGGATTCGGAAACCCGGGCCTGTTGAGGGTGTAAAGGCAACAAAGACATGAGGTGTGGTTTTGCAGGAGGAGTTTTACTTTCATTCCCAGGACGCTGGGGCCACAGATGGTTGTGAAAAAAAGAGGGAATTTTCTCAGGCCGGATTCTAGCTTTTCCTAACATTGCTCAGAGGAAGGACAGACCAGAAGACAGAGGACAGGTGCTGTGGACAGGAAGGAGAAGTCCTGTAAATGATAAGGGAACTGGCAGAGTGAGCCCTGAGGACTGAGCCCTGAGATAACACAGGCATCTGGAGGGCACCTGGCCCCGGGGCTGGGCAAGGGCACTGAGCAGCCTGAGCCCATAGTGCCTGGTGGGTGCCAGGCTGTCAACAGACCATTTTCATTCCACAAATTCCTGCAAATGCAGAATGAATTCGGTGTACGGGTTTGTGGAGCTTATTTCAGGGCCTCACCCCCTTGTGGCCTCTGAGATAGTAGTGTCCTGGGACTGTCCAGCTGCTCTTGAAGCCCTTGGACCTGGGGAGTTTGAACAGACACTAAGCCCAGACTCCTAAGGCCAGGAGTAGGGCTTCATGACATGGACCTTGTATTTGGCAACCAGTGTAATGAGTGCAAGGTCCTTCAGACATAGGTTCCAGAATGTGCAAAGGCTGGGTGAGGAGTGAGCTTGTTCAGGAAACTTCAGGTATATTTTTTAAAATACAGTTATATTTTTATTGATATTAGATGTAGAAAGGAAGGGAGAGAGAGAGAGACACAGAAAAACGGATGAGCAAAAAACAAGGATTGGTAGCCACATGCACAATTCCTACTGTGTATCCAGACCACAACCCAGGCATGTGACCTCTCGAGTGCATAGGTCTATGCTCAACCAACTGAGACACATCATCCAGGACTGTAGGTCACTTTAATACAGGGAATCATGGTCAGGATGGTAATGGTAGTAGTAGCTCAGAAGGGACAGTGAGCCTGAGGACTGGCTTTCTTGCTGGGGCCACTATTAATGGGACGTGGATGTCACAACACAGCATAGGTACAGAAGTTGTCATGTAGAGTGTGGGGAAGAGAGAATGGTTTTGCAGTGGCCAGTGCCTTTAAAAGATAAGTGTACCTGAGATTAATCGGAGGCCGAAGAGTAATTCAAACAAGATGAGACTAGGGCTGGTACATAACTTTTCTAATCTCTCACCAGGATTTTGTTGTGACCCTTGTTGTGTCCTGGCTTTGGGGAGTTGCAATCAGTCTTGTGGATTAGCTCAGAGGCTTGAGTGGTCATCTGTGAGACTCACTGGGCTTGGTGCAGAGGGCCATCGGGGCTGGGACTTGAGTGAAGGTTAAGGGAGAGATCTTGACTGTGACTAGTGAAGGGACATCAAGTGCCACATCACAGGAGGTGGTCTATGGATATATGAAATCTGATTGTTCTTAATAGTTGAGGTTGAAGGAAAAAAAAAAGTCATGGAGAGAGGCATACATAGCAGGACTCAAAGCTGCCTCTATGAGTGTGGACTATCAGAGTCTGGGCAATGCTTGATTCTGATTCAATTTGGCAACCATCTCTGGACCACACATGCTGAGTAATAAGTAAAAGGCCAGGAGATGAATGTG